ATAAATGCTTAATAGATAAATAAGCATTCAATGAATTGCCCCCAAAAATACAATAAAAAAAATAAATGTAGGTAGAAATTAGATTATACAGTGAAACATAAATGTATGCACAGGGCCGCCTTTTACAGCTGCTTTTTGTATCTCTGCTTCTGTCTCCTTGAACCCCAGTCGGCCTCAGCAGATGGCCGCTCACACTGAGCCTGGTTTTGCTCGAGGTTTCTTCCTGTTAAAAGGGAGTTTTTCCTCTCCACTGTCACTACAAGCATGCTTAATGTGAGGGATTGCATTCCAGCCACTGAGTCGATGCAATCAACTGGTTTTCCTTAGATAGAAAACTTTGAATCAATTTGATTGGATGATCTGGTGAATTGTAAAGAACTTTGAGATGACATGTGTTGTAAATTGGCCCTATATAAATAAACTGAATTGAATTGAATATATCTCTTTTAATTAGTTTCTTTATTTCTCTCTAAGACGCAAGCCCCCTCATTTACATAATGAGGTAGACATGCATACAAAAATGTAAAAACGACAGGCAGAAATAAATAGTGTTGAAGAAATAAAGAGGGTAAAAAAAGATAGGAAGAATTAAACAGACAAAAATATTACATCATGCACATAAATAAATACTTTAAAAAATAAGTAATAAATAAGTTGAAGATTGTAACGGACAATAAATAAATAAGGTAGTTATTACAAAGGAGAATAAATAAAGAAGCTAACTAAAAGAGATATATACATGTATGTCTCACTGTATAATTTAATTTCTACCTACATTTATTTGTTTATTGTATTTTTGGGGGAAATTAATTGAATGTTTATTTATCAATTGAGAATTTATTCATTTCTGTATTTATTTTAGATAATGCAGAGTTGGTCCTCCATACTAGGCTGCACTTTAAAAAATGAAAAATGTCTAGAGAGCTTAACGAAATATCTTTTTGTTTACACTTGTGTATACAAAATGATAAAATAAATCTGTCTAAGTCTAGCAGGATTTTCTGACCCTGGTTTGTCTGAAGTTTTTGTAGTGCTTCTTTTCAACCACTTGGGGGCGACATAACCAGCTTTCAATTCCACCGGCAGAGAACAATCGACGTCACCACGGAAGCTGAACCGAGCAGCACACATCCTCCAGTAGCTGCTGTTTGGTCTGTTTGAAACAAAGGTCAGCAGTCAGAGGGAGGGAGAGAGAGACGGAAAGCAGCAGCGTCAGGCTGTTAGTGAATGGAAGCGAACGAGGCTTTTTTTTTTCTAACGTAACTGTGGATGTTTGGCCTGTCAGAGCCGGGGGGACGCTGCGGTAGAGTGGAGTTGACGTCAAAGCCTGACACCATCACAGGGTAAGCTAACAATCACCGGAGCTAATGAAGAAGAACAGGAGCTAGTGGTCCTGACCCGAGCTTATTACTAGTTAATTACGTTTTAATTACATGCTAACCAGAGAAGAATACAATAATTACGTAACGAAGAAATACAAGACTGTTGGTTAACTAAAGGAGTAAGCCTAACGGGCATCGTTAGTTCTATTGATGCTATTCTCATTATTTTGCTGTGATGATGAAGGAAGTCAGTTACTCTGAAAGTTTGTGCCTGCTCACATTTAAAATATCACACACATATCTTCCAGTCACTCTATTAAAGCATTAGGTGAGAAATATAGAAACAAAAACAGAAATGTTAAACAGAGGAGAATAACAATCCACTTATTTTCTCTTAAGAATGACTGACATTCGCTTTATTTTTTGCTATAAGTTCAAATGGTCTGTTTTAAAGAAAAAAATGTTACAGGCAAAAGATCAGATGGTGGAAGGGTTTGTAAAAAAAGTCAAAATAGAATGCCACGTTATCAAGGGAAGACATTAAATTAGAAATTGAAAACAACAACAACAAAGTAATGTATTTGGGGAATAAAAGAAAACAAAACAGTCTAAAACACTTCTCTGTGAATCTAAACAGTACAGAATAACATTCGCATGTATGTTTAAAACACCACTAACTTTGAGATTAAATGCATTCAAACTCTGCATGCCGGTAATATATTTGGCTAAATGAATAAGCTATGGTGATACCTCTTTGTGTGGGAAAATAAAATGAGCAAAAAAGGCTTCAGTGATGCTTTAACGCACCCAAGAATTGGGCCTCCTTTAGCAGATGCCCTGCTGTGACCCTGACCTTAGATGACATTGGTGTCACTTAAGCAACCAGGTTGTTTTTTGACTCCCCTCTTCAAAGTCTGCCACTTGTGTTCAATTCAATTCAGTTTATTTATATAGCACCAATTCACAACATATGTCATCTCAAGGCACTTTACAGTTCACCAGATCATACAGTCAAACTGAATTAAAGTTTTCTATCTAAGGAAAACCAGTTGATTGCATCGACTCATTGACTCAAATGCAATCCCTCACATGAAGCGTGCTTGTAGCAACAGTGGAGAGGAAAAACTCCCTTTTAACAGGAAGAAACCTCCAGCAGAACCAGGCTCAGTGTTGTGTTTGTGTACCTAATATAATCCATCAGCAGTATTTCCTGTTCAACCACTTACTAATAAAAGGAAGTGGTTGGACTGCCACCAGTTCACAAAACACTCTAGTGCTGTCACCTTCATCCGGGTTGTGTTCTGTGAAATATTTTGCTGATGGCTTGGTATAGAATGAGGCCTAAGGTGGAATGTTTAGAGAAAAGGAAAAGAAAGTCCCCTGCAGGGCCAATGTAGTTAGGAGGGAGAGTTCGACGTCTTCTGTTAAAGTTGACAATGAGTGATGGAGCGCTCTTGGCACTCTGTAGGATTATAAACTTGGGCAAAATAACACTGTTCTCTCAGCGCTGTCAAGCTGTGGAAATGAGTCAGTGCTGCGTGGCAGGTAGATGATGATGATATGATGATGTCAGCTACCTTAATAGAAAACTGAAATGGATTGTTAAAAGAAAGAGCTAAACATTCTCAGTACACTATACTTTTGTTTTTCAAAACTTTATTTAGATAATCACAACTGACATGCTGATATAAAAACAAGGTATTTTTTAATTACTAATAAAAATATGACAAATATTTTTTATGTATGTATTTATAGTTGATAAATTGAATAAACAGGTAAAACTATTGAAATATAGCAAATCAAAATGATTCCTAAGCGATAAGATTAAGGTGCGACTCAGTGGTGCTGGGTTCAAATTCCAGCCTTTGGCAGGTTCTTTGTCTGCATGTGTTTGGTCTCACCAGGTGCTCAGTCTTCCTCCCACGGACTGTTGCGTTAGTTGGTCCTCTCCTCTAAAGTGCCCTAAGGTGTATGTGTTCATGGTTGCTTGCTCTGTGTTGTTTCTGTGTGTCGGGCTGTGCAAGGCTAAGCAAGTATAAATAATGGGTTTCTGATAACAGGAAAATAAATAGAAAATCTTGTTTTTATGTTTCTGTCCTGAGAATGAGGGTCAAATCATTTTGGTGGTTCATGTACATCTCTTATTGGGTTTTTTCACACTTGTAAACATGAACCATAATCCTAGCAAACACAGTTTGAATTTATAGTTTTAATATTAATTAGGAATTAAACAATTACTCATGATTATGGCTGGGTATTTTCGCCAAAGTCCTGAATCAATTCGATTTTGATTCACATTTTTTCATTCATCGATTAATTTGGATTCGATCAGTTTTTACAATAATGAAAGTGGTTCAACTGTGGTTCCAAATACCCTTTTAATTTGTATTTTTTCCTGTCACATTAAACACAAAGTGCAAACTTGTAAATCAGACAGTTTAAACATGAGATGTGAACAAAACTGTCTCAAAAGTGCAAACTTGTTTGTGAAAAGTGAAAAAGTAAAGCCTCACTCGAGCAAGCAGATGTGACACAGCAGACATGCATGAGCTGCATTATCTTCACTTCACAAACCATATTTGCAGCGTTGTCTGTAACAACTACAGGGTGTTTGCTGGTCAGCCCCCATTTGTTAATGTCTTCAGTCTACCTATTGGCTATATTTTCAGGTGTATGGCTTAATGTAATCTTGAGTTCATATTTCCTGCTCATTTGAATGTGAACGTCATGCGCGTCACTATAAAAGGAATCAATCTCATTTCATAGACATCGATTTTGCAAAAATGTAAAGGAATCGATTCAAAATCGATTAAATTGATTTTTTTACCCAGCCCTACTCATGATTAATTGATTATTGAAAAAATCATCAACCTGTTAAATAATTTATATTCCAGATTTAATAATAATCTGGAATATAAGAACTGTAAAATGTGCATTTAAGCTGATAGAGCGACCCACATTGGGCTCAGAATGAAATATGTAAACATTTTGCATTTAAGATTAAAATAATTTTCCTCTGTCAATATGCTCTTTCCAGAACTCCTCAAGTGGAAACCTTTTAGTTTCCTCTGGTTTAATTTAGCAAAAAAAAAAAAAAAAACTCTCCTTTAAGGAATCTTTGGCTATCCGATTATTAATAGGTGAATTGAAAAAATTATCAACAGATAAATCAATTTGCTAAATAATCATTAGTTGCAGCCCTATTATTAATCATGATAGAGGTTTTTCAGATTTTTTTCTGGACTGTTAAGTTAGTATTTTAATGTCTTACTTTAACTTCCATGATTTTGAAGCTCATACATGTTGCTTTCCTCTTAAAGCATCATTTTAAACACCTGACATAGCCTCTTTAAAGCCATACATTACTGCTTGGCTGTATTAAAGTAGCTCAAGATTTGGTTAAGGTGCAGGGGTACATGTTAGTGCTTATTCTGTGGCTTCCAGTACCTGGGTGCTCTGATATCAGAGTCCTTCCTTTAAACCATTAATTTTAAGTTGGACAGGAGTTAGCTGTTTGCCCAGGATGAGTGGAGGACGTCAACAATGAGCTCGGTGAACCGACATCATGCCCACAACCATCTCTCTCTCAGCTAATGACAGGCTTTGCAGGTGGGATGGGCTTAGAAATGAGGGAACAATAATGATAGGTTTCAGGTTTAGGTTGATGAATCAGTTTGTAGCTCAGACTGGTGTCCCCCCTAGCTGCATATAAAGCTGAATGTGAAGCCTTCAGAGGATAAGTTGTGATCGGTTTGCTGGAGAAGACTTCCACGGGGTATGAGGGAGCTCATGAGGAGGTGCTGACTTTCCTGTTTCCATGCTTTAAAGGTATAGTAAGATGATAAGGAATATTATTATGGATGCAACAGACCGGCTTCCTTTGGCTTTCTTTGACATCTAAGATTAGGACTTTGATTTCTATAAGAATTATATGACAGAGAAACATTTATCTACAAAGTTTGTTTAGTTAAAAAAAGATTTTGAGCATAAAAAAAGATGGTTAAGCCCCCACTGTTACTTTAAGTTTAAGCTTTAATGTCTTTATTGATCAGGTTGAAAATTAATTGGTTAATGTATTAGAGTCGGCCTGTCTAATACTGCTTGATTATGAGAAAATAATCATATTTAAGGCATTTTTTGTCAATATAAGAATCACATTTATTTGACATGTAAGTTTGGATCATGCTTCATTTTTTTTTACATCTATAAAAAGTTGCTAAAAAAATCTATGATTTTGAAACATTCAACCAATTCTGATGTTGGCAGTTGTTTGGATATGAAAATAAATTTGAGATACAAACTTATTTAGAAACACAAAAAGTGTGAGTTTGCAGCTTTAAATGTCTCTAATAAACATGAGAGAAACATCAGCTTTCAGGGTCCATTGAGAGAAAACAGCTAATTGTTAAATTATGTATATTTATTTTTGTCTTGGAGGAGCAATTACATGTCATATGTGTAAGAATAAATTAAATAAAAATCAAGGGTTCCTACATTGTAAGTAGCCAGACCTAAAAAGTAAGTTGATTAACTAAAATAAAGATAAATCAAAATTTAAATTAAGTACTTAGCAATTAGTTTCAAGTAACGATTGGTGTGCAACTATCTTAAAGTAAAGCTGTGTGAATCTGCTCTAATCAATTGATTCTTTGTCTGAATGAATGCTTAAACATTTGTGACGAACCCTGATAAAACAGATTAAACAGAGGTAGACCTTCTCTATATTTGTGCCAGACATGTTGCAAGGTTGTCTGCTTTTCTTTTTACTATTTTTTCATCCTTAGAGGACACCTAATAATGGGACAATGAAAGACATTTAAGCTAAAATGCTCAAAACAATATTTTGACTACAGACACATTTTAAAAATCCCTTTATGATGCTTAATACAATGGAGATGGAAGCTGAAGATGGCTAAAATGATTTCCTTAAGCTGCAAACATTCAGAAATGTCTGACATTTTAAAATTTTGTAAGGCAGCAATTTGTTAGTTTGAAACAATCAGAAGTCAACTAATCTTCTGTTGCAGACATTTTGATCCAATATGCAGTTTTAATTATTTTCTGTTTTAGTGTCCTATTATTTCTTGAGAGAGACAGTATCATTACAGAGTGGGCTTTTAACTGTGTTATAATGCTATTCCTTCATCAGAATTAGGGATGGACGATTAATTGCGTTTGCAATAAAATTGCATAAATTTAATAAAATGCAATTTTCAAATCGCAGAGGCGCTCAATCATAGTCCCATTACACTTATCAAGATACCTCACTCTAGCTCTTTAGGTAGCAATTTTGATTATTGGTTATTGGTAATCGAACTGATTCATGCTGTAATCCTCTGGAGTTCTGCAGCCCTTCCCTGACCTGTCAAAACGAGCAGTGGGAGAATATCTATATACATGGACGTAGGTTTGCATAGGGACCATAGGGACATGTCCCTACCAAAAGTTTGAACCGACCTAATTGTCCCTACCAATAATTGGATGTGAGCAACATGTTTATAATTTCCAGAAGTAGTTGTTGCAGCAGTGGCTTCTTTTCCTCTCGCAGCTCCCCTGCCTTGTCTCTCCTGTCCCTTTCACCTAGCAGCGAATGGAACTGTGCTGCACTGTTTAACTCAACTCTCATTGGTTGTTCTGCCTTAGGTTCCGCCTTCTATCTCTCTGATTGGCTGTTTTCTAGTCCGCGTGTGCTTGGAGCACAACATTGAAAATTTATTCACACTAGAATGCAGCGGTTACTACAATTAATATTAGGCTACAAAACTAGTCCCAATGAAAAAAATGAATATCATGTACACTAAAAAACAAAAACCTTTTTTTTTCTTTTATAAAACGAAATATTCTGAGTCGGCCAGGAGTTCTGAAGACTGCTGGAAAAATGGGCAAATAAAGGCTGTAAGCCATCAACATTTCTGATTCTTAGCCACAGCCAACTAAAAAAGAAAATGTGAGGGTTTCCTTTTTACCGATATTTAGTTGATATTACTGTTTTCATTTTTTTGTCTTATTTTTACAATTTTGATATAATAACTGATCTAAGTGGGTTGCTCTGTGGGGAAAGGCACATTTTACATTTATATTACTGTATGTTTTAAAGTCTCTATACTCCAGTTAATGATGAATCACTTACTAAATTAGTTGACGATTATTGAAATAATCAATTAATATGATTCATTTTTTTCAGCCCCAGATGAAATACATGAAATGGGCGACAAAGAGTAACTACAGCCCAGATGTTCAACTTTTATAGTGAAGTTAATATTTTAATGAATGTATTATTTTGCTTGATACAGAGAGAGAATAGTAGGTACAAATATTAGAGTGGGGTTTAACTCTGCACCTTTCTATATCTTCAAAAGAAAATACTGTATTTACCTTCTCTCTTAGTCGTTCAAATGAAACCATTTTCAAAGTGGAAAACAGTCCTAATTCCACATTCATCAGAGCCGGTGATACTTCAAACATTGATAAACAGCATCTAATGAGTGTAGAGCTTATAACATTTTTATTAATGGAGCAAAATGTTGCTTTTCTCTTTTAACAATGAATTCCTCTTATCAGTACGGATGCTCACATCGAGCATAAAAAAGGGCATGCATATTGCATAGCACCAATGACACCAGACCAATAGTGTCCCTACTAGGGGTGTAAATAATAATCGTTTTGTATCGATGCATCGATCCAAAAGCCGACGATCCGATGCATCGACACGTCCGCAAGATAATCAATTAATGTTTTTTTTTTTTTCCCTCCGGTCTATTTTTATCCATTTTCTCCTGGGCGTAACTCTCCTCCCGTGCTGCGGTGCCGCTAAACTTATTTTGCCCTCCTACCGCGCTTCCTGGTTATACTCTTACAGAAGTTTGTTGCAGCAAGCTTCACACAGACATTTTTAAATTATGCTCAATATTGCAGCGTGGTCTGAGCTACACGCTGTGGGTCTAGATACGGCCGAGGCGGCGAGGAAGTGGGGGCGAGTTTAGTCCGACGACGGAGGGACAATGGGGCAAAAAGAGCGGAGATTCAGCTGGAAAAAGGCTCCCAGCGTTCTCGCGCACCTCGCTCTTCTAGCGGGTCAAACTTCACGAGTTGTTTTCCGCAATTTCGGTCATAAAAACAAAACAAGCCGCCCTCCTGTCTGGTGCACTGTTTGCGGTCAGCTACAATCTGGGAGAGGAGCAGCAGAGCGTCTCTCAAGGGGTCGGCGACGTCAACACTCTGGAGCCTTCTTCTTCTTCTTTTTTTTAATGGCGGTTGGCAAACAACTTATAGGTGCATTACCGCTGTAGGTACCAGATTGACTCGGGCTGCCAGATTGACTCGGGGGCCTGCGCCTTTTGATGACGTCACAATACATAATTGTTTTAACGTTTGCACAATTGCGCAAAACATTTTGATTGGTCTGGACAGCTTACTAAAGTAATTATAGCGGGGTGTAGGTTTTATTCGAAAGCGGGATTGCTGTTTGTAAACGGACAATTTTACGAAGACATTCTCCATGGTCCCTGCGCCTTCTGATGACGTCACCGAATTCGCCATGGGCCTTGCGCCTCCCGATGACGTGACATTATGGCAATGCCACTCAAACAAACTACATTGAGCCCGCGGTCTGGATTTGTAACGAGAATAAATTCAGGAGAATGAAGCTAAAGGGATACAAAAAATAAACTTGTAATATTACAAAACCAAAAATACTACGAATACAAAGTATATTCAGAGATTAAAGTCCCTCTGATACTGTTTAAGTGACTGAGAAACTGCAGATTTGCCACATTTAAGATGGCGGACGCTCTGACGCATCTCAAAAGGCGCAGGCCCCCGAGTCAATCTGGCAGCCCGAGTCAATCTGGTACCTACACCGCCACCTTCCAGAATGGAGTATGGACCAGACAAACTATTATATTCTCCCTAAAATACCCGTTCTTCTTAGAAAATTAAAAATACTACCAAAAACTACATCCCCAGATGACCTTTGAAACAATTCCCTTATATCTAGTTTACTTTTATTCCTGTCTAACTCTCTACACAACATCTCTCTTTCCTGAGTATATTTATTAAATTCTAAAAAAATATGTTGGACAGTTTCTTTGGAGCCGAGGTATTGCATTGAACTCATTACACTGATATTGTGCAGTATTTTTACAGTATTTTTTGATGCAGCTTTTCTACTTCTGTTATTTGCTGTTGTTTCTAAAGAAAATGCATAACGATATTACAGCTTTCATTGATTTATTTCAAACTTGAAACTTTGTTTAGCCTGTAAGGTGTAAAAAAAAAAAATAATAATAATAAAAAAAAAATTAACCGATTAATCGATTAATCGAATCGAATCGAATCGTGGTGTATTCTTAAGTATCGAAAATAATCGAATCGTTGGGTCAGGAAATCGATACTGAATCGAATCGCCATGATGGATGTGATTTACACCCCTAGTCCCTACCAAAGTTCAAATCAAACCTACGCCCTTGTCTATATAAGACATTTCTCTCCAGGAAGCAGCTACCTTACCCACACTATAAACAAACAGACACTTTCTCCACTCCAGGGAGGGCGATGTAAAGGAAACGGAGAACCTCCTTCAGCTGCTAATCTGCTCAAAGGCTGCAACCGATCCTTTTAGCTTATGTTCAAGTCATTAATGATCCCTGATTCAGTCTTGAAAAACTCTTAACTTTGTACAGCCTTTAGAATTGGTGGGATTCACCTGCATAATGAAATGAACAGCACCCAGACAAGTTTTTTTCCTCCAAGTTGGAAGAAAAAAAACTATATTTCATAAAAAATGTATACTCCCGTGACTTTTAAAGGCCTTAAAAAGCATGGTGTGG